GACAATACAAAGATAATAGAATTGTAATGAATAGTGTAATTTATTTACAAGAGAGGCATCCTATTTCCTCTAATATTTCTTTCCATTGATGATAGTAACAAGAGAATTCCAGACATGACTATTATTAACAGACAACTTGGATGGAATCCCAAGACATCACTTTGGGACCTACTCGAATCGACTCTTACTTACCAACACAGAACATATGCCGAAGCTATCAAGAAGGCCATTTCAAAGCCCGTTGCAAGTTAACAAAACACAATAAATCTTGCTGCGATTTGCACTCCAGCGAATTATAACACACGTCCTCTGGATACTATCTACAGCAACTTCATTGATGCTCTCCCAGTGGTGAAGTACTGTTCAGAAAATAGCAAGCGTCTCATACACTTCTCCACTTGTGAAGTGTATGGGAAAACAATTGGTTGCTTCTTGCCAAAAGATAGTCCATTGCTGCAGGATCCTGCATATTATGTTCTTTCAGAAGAGGCCTCCCCTTGCATTTTTGGCCCAATTGAGAAGCAGAGATGGTCATACGCATGTGCAAAGCAACTGATTGAGAGATTGATTTATGCCGAGGGTGCTGAGAATGGTCTTGACTTTACATTTGTGAGGCCTTTCAACTGGATTGGTCCCCGAATGGATTTCATACCTGGAATCGACGGTCCCAGTGAAGGTGTTCCCAGAGTTCTAGCCTGCTTTAGCAATAATCTCCTAAGGCGTGAACCACTTAAGCTTGTAGATGGTGGCCAATCACAAAGAACCTTTATTTATATAAAGGATGCTATTGAAGCTGTTCTATTGATGTTTGAAAATCCAGCCAGGGCTAATGGTCAAATATTCAATGTGGGCAACCCCAACAATGAAGTTACAGTGAAGCAACTTGCTGAAATGATGACACGGGTTTACTCAAAGGTTAGTGGAGAATCATCACTAGAAACACCTACCATCGATGTTAGCTCCAAAGAATTTTATGGTGAAGGATATGATGACTGATGACAGTTATTTCTCCTACGACAGAATGGGAATCAGGATGTTCAATTTTTTGCCATCATAATCCACCGATGAAACTAATGAAATTTACACTGAAGTAAAAAATAAGAGTTGTCTTTGAGTTCGTTTCTTCATTTTCTTGTGATATTCTTCAATGATTTAGTAAAGAAGGAGAGCGTTCATAAACTGAGCAATGTTTTATCATTAGTGATGACCATCATTAGTTTAGATGACAATGAAGCGTCTAGTTCATTATTGATGATGACCACTAATGAGAGAGTATTACTCTTCATCAATGTATGAAGAAGAACCCATTTTCTTCAAAACCACTTCATCGCTCATATTCATCGATGCTTTTGCTTCGACGTGGAGACCGAAATGTAAATATTCGTTCCGTTACACACTGGATTGTGATGGCACCTTTTGTTGCTAATGTGTTATCTTGATGATCAAATAATTTGTATCACATTGTAATTTTGGATACTTATCAAGAATTTACCTGGAATCTGGATGCATAATAGTAACAAACTTCTATCTATTTTCTTGTCTAACCACTACTATTCTTCAACTGAAATAAAATGAGTTTCCCTTCAGTCAGAAGAGTGAACAAATCTTCAAAGGGAAAAATACATATATAATGTAGCATTAAAATATAATTTCAAAATTAAGAAACCAGTCACAATCACAGACCGTCACAGCCACAAATCATAAATTTTATAAGTCATAACTTATTTATCGATTATAAATTATCAAAATTAATTGACCACACATTATTTATCGATCACAAATCAATAGGTAACAACTTATTTATCGATATCAAATTAATGGGTCATGCATTATTTCTTGGTCACAACTTATTTCACGATAACAAATTATCAAATTAACTGGTCACAACTTATTTCGGAGTAACAAATTATACAACACATACCAAATTATACAGTCACTTGAATTGGAAAGACGTGAAAGAACGGCATGGGAAACTGTATCCTAATGCCCCTTGACATCCCTATTATACGATACATACCAACTTGTATGGTCGAGCTCACTGGAAAGGAAGGGTGATATGTTGAGGACAAGGACTATGCTGAAGCTGTTAAAGAAAACAAGGTCGATTTGAAATGGGAAGTTAGAAGATAAAGATGGATTGAGGAAAGAAGTGAAGCACTTGGATTGGAAGGTAAGGGACAGACCAAATCCTTGCCCAAGGCTACCTAGGCAGTGGCCTTGGCCTCAAGATTTGTGGGACCTCAGAAAATTTAAACACCAATGACATTTTTTTTTTTTTTAAATTTAGGAAAGACAGTATAGGAAATTTGAGAAAATTTCTTTGATGAATTTTTTTTTTTTTGAAGATGTAGTCGTGCAAATAAAGCATAAAGCTATCCTCTACTCAATAATGACTT